TTTTTACATCAACTTATGACAGATTTTCTTTCTTTCATTCTCTATTAGGCATTAAGATTATTGTGAACACGTTCTTCTTAGGGATGCAATTTGGCCCATCCCTAATAGGTACTCACAAAAAAAATCCACAACGGATAGGGTAAAAACATGTATAAATGGATATATGGTCACATGCTCGGGTAGTTATCTACTTAAATAAGCGTATATGAGTACTTTAGTATTCATCCCGTCTGATACCCGGATTATATATATATATTAGATATATTAATTAAGTTTAAAAAATTTTATAAAAGAAAATAGAGGGAGTAAGCTTAAACTTCTAGCTATAGATATAGATAAAAAGGTATCTAGAGAAATGGATGCGTATGTAGTTATTGAAATTAAAGATTATTTGAAGTATTTAAACTTATACTTTATTGTCATTATTCAAAATACTATTAAATCAGATGTGATGGATATGTACAAGTGAGTAGAAAAATCTCAAACAAGAATTGGCTACTATTCTTAATAAGAATTTTATAAACTTTGAACTTGGATTTATTGTGAAAAATAAGGAATCCCAACTTGATAGATCCAACTTCATAGATTGAAGAAGGTATTATATGGGCTGAAACAAGCTCCAAAGACTTGAAACAAAAGAATTGGTGGATTTCTAAAGGAAATAAGATTTGATAAATGTGTATTTGAACATTGTATATATGTGAAGAAGGATACAAGTAAATGAGTGATCATTTTATGTCTCTACATTAATGATTTACTGATTGCAGACAGTAATGATTGTTACATTATCGAGTTTAAAGGTGATTTAATGAAGGAGTTTGAAATGATCGACTTTAGTCTCAAAATATTTCATTGACATTGAATTTCACGAGTTTGAAAAGGGATTGCTCATGCATTAAAGGAGGTATGCTCTTGAGATATTGAAGAAGTTTGAAATGGAGCGTTGCAATGTTACAATTATTATCCCTATACAGTTAATATTTCATTTTTAAAAATGAAGACAAGCAAGATACTAATTCAACGGAGTACATGAGTATGATTGTATCATTGCAATACTTGTGCAATAGAGATTGGACTTTAGTGTGGACATAGTGAGCATATTTATGGGGAAGTCAAAGGCATCATACTTGGTAGCAATTAAGAGAATTCTAAAAAACGTCAAAGGTTCGATTGACTACAAAATTCTATTTCCCGCAACGAATAGAGGTAGAACTTGTAAATTGCTCAGTTACATCGACTCAAACTGGCAGTGGAGATAAAGATGATAGAAAACCCATTGTTGGATACATCTTTATGTATGGAGAAACGTCAATCTCCTCTGTTCTAATAAGGAATCAGTTGCGGCGCTCTCTTCTTGCGAGACTGAGTACGATACAACGTCAATGTGTGCGTGTCAGGTTGTATGGTTGACGAAGGAGTTGTACTATGAAGAGTATGAAATTGTGACATTAATGATAGACAATGTTTTCTCTATAAATTTTGTCAAGAATCCCATTACATAAGGGAGAAACAAACATATAAAGATGAGATTTCAGTACTTGAGAGAACTTGTTAGTGAAGGAAAATTGAAGCTGGAGTATTGTAAAAGTGAAGATCAAGTGGTTGATCTACTAATCAAAGGAGTGTCAATTGAAGTGCTTAAGAGGTTGAAAAAACACATGAGTATGAAAGACTTGAATTAATGCAATGTGTTGAGAAAATAGTAATTCAAGCGGTCAGTCAGTAGTATGATCATATATAAAGGATGTAACAAATGTTTGTAAAAATTTTATTCCATCTGTATATCATATTTTCATCCCAATTCTCTCTAATTCTCTCATTCTCTCCATTATTCACCATTGTTCTTGTGATTGAGATTTTTATCCAACATCATTTTATATAAATTCTTTCAAGGCTCTAACTCTAACCAATATAAAACTTAGATTTTTTCCGATAAAATTTATAATTGTGACCGCTATTAATTGTGATGTTCAATTTGTTAATTATGTTAGTTGTGTTAGATTAGTCTTATAAGATTTACATATATTTGTTTGTTTCACTAGACTAAGAAACTATTAGTTTTGTTTGGTGGGCTGGAAATGCTCGACTTATCAATTTATCAGCTAAACTACTGAGGTTCATGTAACCCATGTCAGATTAATAGCATTTTGGGCCGGAACAATAAACTTATTTGAAGTTGTTCATTTTATTTACGAAAAGTCCATACATAAACAAAACTTATTCCTCTTTTAAAAATATTATAATAAATTAAAGTAATGATGAGAAATAATTTAATAAATATAATACTATTATTATTGTACTTAAAAACACATATACTTAAATTTATATTTAATATTACATATATTTTGTCCTCACATCCTAAATTTTCTAGCTCCCTCCTTGATTTTACATCTTTCAGCACATTTTATTTTAAGAAAATTACAAATTAAATTATTATATTTTTTAATAAATGTAATTTTTTTCTCTTATATTTTTTAGACAATATTCTATTTTTTAATTGACTTGACAGTCCATCTTACTTTTTAATTAATTTATTATTAAATTTTTATTATTAATATTCTTTATGAAATTTTAATTTAATATTTATTAATTTTTTTTTACGTTTTCTATGAAATTATTTTTATTAGTATTCTTTATGAAATTTTAATTTAATAATTAAAATATACTTTATGGTTTTTCAGGAATCCATTACTTAAAGCTTAAAATATCTACTGTGAAAGAGATATATAAACTTTTAGATTTGTATAAAGTTTTTCGATGTGGACTATATTCATACACACCAGTTTGCATAAACTCATCAGCTTCTTATATCAAGTTAAAGTATGATTATATAAGTGATCTCCTATATATCAAATTAAAGTATTTGGTGTATCCTTTGTACTGAAACAATGAAAACTAAATAATGATCTGCTCTTAATACTATAGGTGTATCCTATCTAAATGATAATTCAACTGAACATCTTCCAGCATAACTTCCAAGTGCTTGTCCAACAACTTTACAGTATCTGCATGCTCACTATTGGGAAAAACAAAATAAACTAAATGCATCTTTGAAAGGAAACCTCCAACTGGTGCTCACTAAAGAAACCTTTTCCATACATCTTCAATGCTCTAAACTTTGCTTCATCGCTCCCTCGAGGTATTCTTTAGTTGCATGAACATCAATGAAGTTTGATGAATAATTTAACATGTTCATATAACATTCTCTCTCTCACATGCATGTAGGTAACTTTCTACATAAATGAGAAACAACAAATATTTCACGTAAATAAAGCGAGAAGTTTCAGACATTACTGGAGTGATTCGGTTTCCGTCCATATTCACCTGCATGTTGCAATCAGTATATTCATACACATCAGTTCCCCAGTTTTAATTAAGGATTTTATTTTGGTCACAATCATAAATCTAGTGATAGGAGTATTATAATGCAATTGATGCTGCTCTAAAGATGACACTGTCAATTCCCATGTCAGATATATTTGCTTATCGAAAGGTGCACAAACAATTTTTCTTGTCACACACTATTACATATATACTCTTTGTTCTTCAAAATTTGTTTGCAATCATAAAATAAAGAAAGAAAAATATATAGTAAATGATTGCATCAACTAAAGTTTTTACAAGGATACATTGCTTTCCTGTTAGATTCTTTGAACATATTATTTTCAAATATTTTGGAAATGATGTTACAGTAGAAGTGTGTATTATAGTATGTCAATAATGGCTTGCAATTCTTGTATGAGATTGGTAGTTGTTGAGATGATGTGGAATATGGTAATGACATAGAAACGTTTTTGCAGAAGGTACGAGGATTCTTGTATGAGCAGTGCATGAGAGATGAAGCTAAGCAAGTATTACGTTTTCGATTCAGTATTACCAAGAAAGCACCTTCATTAATGAACAAGCTTGATGTTATTGTGGTTGAGAGTAAGATGGAGGATGAAGGACAAAAATGCAGTTCTGGTAGAATCCATGAGTCCCACATTCAAATCTTTTAGAGAATATTTTAGTGTTTATATAACACACTATAATATTGTTTATCAAATAGAAAACGGGTTGAGATTAGATGGGCATACATTACTAATAAGTTTTGATTGATTAAAAATAAATAAATAATTCGTGGATTAAAAAAAATGAAAAATAAAATTAATGAAAAAAATAAAATATTTTAAAAAATCCACTTGCTTAAAAAAATAATTAAAAAATATACCACCTGGCACGGACCGAGGTTTAAAAAACAAAACAAAACACATTGTATATTTAACTCATATTTTAATTATGATTTTCTCACATACATTCACTAAAGTCACGAAAGACACTGCATATCAAAGCTAGAGTTCCTTGCAATAGTGTATTTTAAATTATTGACGGTTTGATCTGTCTAGCAACAGGTCTTGTCTGTCCTAAATGAACTGTTATGAGCAAAATTTGGGTTAAGCTACAAGTTTTTTGTTGAGAAAATAGTATTCTAAACATGAAATAGCACTTTTTTATGGGGCTAACAGGGATGTGTCAGCTTGTAGGTTGGTGAAATGTAGTCTTTGCAGGCAACATAAGGCACGATAATTCAGTACACCTCTTAACCTGACGTCACTTGGACCAACCCCGGCACTAGAATACAAGAATGTCTAAGGAGCATGTCCTGTTTCAATAGTGATAGCTTTGTGTTTTGTTTGTTTAACCTCTCTACCATTTTGGGGTCCTAAGTCAAAAGAGTTAAACGCACAATCCCTCTTCCCTACCCCACAAGAAAGTGAAATTACAAACACGTTGTCTCCTTAGATTCCTTTCTTTTCCTATTAACAATGCACTCTATCCTCTCTTTGATTTCCTTACATATATACTGGTGGGGACTCTCCATTGTTCTTTTTGTCAGGATTCTCTTCCACCCACTATATACCAATGGAAAGGAATAGAATTACAACAAACAAGACACTAGATTCTCTCTCCCATCATTCTTTAAGCAGCACACTCTCCTTTGCTTTGCTTTGCTTTTTGAGATGAATCCTGTCATGGCTAGAAGCTCAAACAACATGTCCTCTAAGAGACATTTTCATTGGACAAACAAGGTTGGAACTGAAGAAGGTGAACCTCACACTTCAGAATCATTTTCTACACTCATTCAGAAGGAGGACTTAGCGTGTGACAAGGTTATTGATCATGAGGCTTCATCAGATGTTAAAGCCACTACAAATGCAACAAGGGGGAAGCTGAGAGCAGTGGCAATCTCAAGGCTTCGTTCAGCTCTCACTGTGTTTGGCAAGAACCGGTCCAACACACCATTTGGCCTTGGTTCTCGTGTAGTTGGCACGCTCTTTGGATATAGACGCGGGCAAGTACATTTTGCATTTCAGAAGGACCCAACTGCCCAAGAAGCCTTTTTGATCGAGCTTGCGACACCGATCAGTGGATTGGTTCGCGAAATGGCATCCGGGTCAGTAAGAATTGCTCTGGAATGTGACAAGGAGAAAGAAGTAGAGAAGAAAGGTTTGCGATTGCTGGAAGAGCCTCTGTGGAGGACATATTGCAATGGCAAGAAATGTGGTTTTGCTAATAGAAGAGAATGTGGTCAAAAGGAGTGGGATATTCTCAAAGCTGTTGAGCCAATTTCAATGGGTGCTGGTGTTATACCAGGAGCTGATAATGGAGGACCAGAGGGTGAACTTATGTACATGAGGGCAAAGTTTGAGAGAGTCGTTGGATCGAGAGATTCTGAAGCTTTCTATATGATGAATCCTGACAGCAATGGTGTTCCTGAGCTCAGCATTTATTTGCTTAGAGTCTAGCATGTCATGCAAGTTCTCTTTATTGTACTTAGTTTTCTTTTTCTCATTTTGTTCTTGTGGAATTGTGGGTGGGTTAGGGTTATTCATTGGTATACTACTTGCTTAGCTCTTAAGTCATGAACATGGAGATCTAGTTCTCTCCAGGTTTTCCTTTGCTGTTTTCTTTTTCTTTTTTTACTGGAGGTATAAAGTGAGTTCAAGAAATGTAAGATTAATAATCAGTAGTAGCTGCACTCAGTGATCTCAGCTGTTGATCAAGATTTGACAGGAAAATTTTTCGAGTTCCTGTCAGATTTCTGTCTAACAACTTGAGTGAGCTGATTGCTGTGACAGTAAGAAATTCCAAAGGTAAGGAATTTGGCTATGTAGCTTCACTCTTATTTTTGTTAGAATAGGCAAGTAGGCCAAGTCAGAAAGGGGGATATAGTAGCATGGTAATGGTGAGGTGGGTCATGAAAGGTGTATATGTGTAATTTTCTTATTCCAATCCTTTAACTAATGATGAGGGACAGAGGTTAATGTAGATCATGATTGTCTACACAATTTTTATTCCAACCAGTAACTTCTTGTCTACTGTGATTTTCGCGCTTGCTTGGTATAATGAGTTAGACAAAACCATATTGAGTCGTCTTCATTTTGTCCAACCAACCGAGATGTCAAACAAGCACACTTGCAATATACTATGTCATCGTATTCAACCCCAAACGGTTACTTTACGCGTTCCCTTTGCGCTTGTGTGCTTCGTCGCTTGCTAAGTCAATTGAATCCCTATAACTCAAGTCCTGCATAGGATTATGAATATATATTGGGTTCATGTGAGCTGGATGAATCTTATGATTATAGACATACACTCTCCAAAAGCACTAGAGTGTCTTTTAAAGACAATTGTGTAGCTCACTACTCGTTTACACTAGCTAAAAAAAAGTTACAATAGACTTAGGTGGAAGCATGTGTAAAAGTAACATTGTTCCAATCATTGTGTTTTTATGCACTATAGTTTGTGAAATGATCCCAATAATTTGTTTTGAATCCTAATCATAGGAACCATCAAAAGAAATATAGAAAAGAAAAGAAATAACATACCAGTTACTGACAACGAACCCCATCTTTTCCTTTTGTTTATATATTGGCCATTGCTTTATGCTCTTGTTGACTACTTTTTCTTTTGTTTGTCTAATTCAAATATGATTCTTAGTAGTTTGTGCCGCTTGAGTTGAAACTAATAGCTCAGTTCCCACCATAATTAACATGGAAAACCAAAAAAGAAATTTTTTAATGGCTAATTTAGTCACAGTAATGAACACCCTTTTCTCCTTTCCCATTGTTTTCAGGCTTTCAATTTCTTAATACTATTTTCTAGCACCTTGAGAGAAGAGGATGTAGGTGAGAGGATATGTGGCTTATAGATAGGTCCATAAAAGCAAATTCTCAAGATTTCATTAACTAAAACCTATGGTTTTTTTAATCATTTAGTTATCATTATTGTTCTAAATAAAAACTAATTGGTCCACTTAAAGTTTGCTATTGCTTTATACAATTATTGCTCCAATTAGTGCACCAAAATCCCCAAACCTACCTCTCAAAAAAGAAATACTGTACATCAAAACTTGGAAGTATCATCATGTGTACATTAATGATGTACATAGCCATTTTTTTAATAGGCAAAATAATACATTACTAAGCTCTAGGCTAAGCACAAGACGTACAGAGAAAAGAGAAACAAAGATACAAAGAGTTGGGCTCCGGCCACAAGAAATAACCGATACATACAGCCAAGGCAACAAAGAAAAACGAAAAGCAGAACATAAAAACAACCACAAACACAAGGCCTGCAAAGAAACAAATAATCGAGCAGCAGACTAGAAACACAAGACTTCACAAGCTGCTCTTAACCAATAATACAAGCTACTAATGAACGACTTGCACCAGACTATAAACACAAGGCCTGCACAGCAAAACAAACAATGCTACACAGGCTGCAAACTAAGTTTCAGCATCAGCCAACAAGCACCTCAAAGGATTTACCAGCCACTGAGTTAAGTTGCAAGTGAAGTCCTGAAACTTTGATTTCAGATTTTTGCAAGAGACCATTCTTATATTTCTACAACCCTTTCCCAAATAAATCCTTTTTGTGAAACGATGATAGTGTTTCTATTCATCCAAATATCCAGACAGTACATATCCAAACTAGAGTAATTTTATCGTATATTATCCTGGCGGGGTACTTATGATTATGATTTTTGTTATAATTTATTTGTATCATAATCAAGTATGATTTAGCATAGTTAGTGTATATTTTCATGAAAAGAATATGATAATATTCAAGAAGTCAAAGCACCATGACCTGTCCTCTTTGTGATCGATGCTTTCTCGGTAGATATTGTATCCATCACACGTTTACTCCCCACTACAAACTGGAGCTTTTCACATTACATTAGGATGCGGGAATTGAAATGCCAACATGCAAACAAACATATAATTCAATTTGCTTGGCCTTATATATGATATGATGAATACAAGTTAATGAGTTCCAAGAGCAGATTTGATTGCATTTGAAAACAATCAAGTACAAATTTAGAATTCTAAATCTAACAGCACATTGTTGGTAAGACATAAGACTCTTAAATCCTGTATTTTAAAGGTTCTGTTATCTCCTCTCCCTTATTCTTGGTCTGTGGAATGAAACCAATTGCAGGTAAGAAAGAAGGTCAAGTCTTTTGGTTGAACAGAAAATGAAGGAGTTGAGGAGCAATATGCAGCCAAGGACTGTGCTTGTTAACTTTACTGATGCGAAAATCATCATGAATATGAAGGAGTGTGGGCAAAGGAATCAGTGATGAGATCAAAATTATAATCATACTTAAATGTATAATTTAACTTCCATAAGATTATAACTCATGATTCTAAGTCAAAGTCTAGTCAATAAAATATGGATGATAGGTTCCACTATATCAGTGCACATTTAATAATTGACACCGTAATGATGGAAACAATTTGACAAATTAAATTTGCATTTGATAGTTGTATTTAGGGATGATAACAAAACAGTGTTAGTAAGTAACCTAATCAATCCAATTTTTGGTAATACTAAAACCTAACCATATAAAAGTTGTACTCTATGACTCTATCACATCTGACCATGTAGGATTCAGTCAACAGCTTCATTAAGCGTCACACTTCATTCCCGAACTCGAGTATGATGAACTGACCATGAATTTAAGGCCGTGTTCATAATAATATTACAACAACGAAGCTTCCATTGGTTCAGAGCTTATTTCTATCTCGACAAAAAGAAGGGAAAAAAAAATCAAGAACTATCCCAAGTTAATGTCGTTATAGTATATGCAATTACCAAGAGAGAAAAACCTAATATTGATCATGTGGAAATTAAGATTGATACTCCATCCATTTCAAAAATGAGTGTCGTTTTAGAGAGAAAAAAATGGTTTCAAAATGAATGTCATTCTCACTTTTCAATGTAGTGAGATAGCTATTTTTCCAATTGTGTCCTATAATTATTACCCTGCACAATACTTCCAATAAATTAATAAGGCTAATTTAGTAAAAGTGCAATATCTCATGACAATATGATTGTATTTCTTAATCTGTATGCAAAAATCTTAAACACGGAGAGGGAATTATAACAACAATAATGGAATTTTCCTGTCATGTTCAATTTAGAATACTTCCCCAATACAAAATATTGAAAATAAAAAAGCATATATCTTATGCATGTTTGTTACATATATACAACCAATTGCATGAAAATCATACGAAATTGCAATGAGGGAAACGGAAAGTGTTGTTCAGGTAATGTGACGAGGAGGAAATCGACCATTTTTGAGAAAGGAAAGAGAGTATTCAGCAGCATCAATTAGGTCAGCAATGTTATGCAAAGAGCGTTCATCAGAACCAACCCAAAACATTGCACGCACCTTGGCTTTCATAGCGAGTCTAGAGGCAAAGTTGAGTGGCAACGAAGGAGAATTCAGGCTTCTCAGTGTCTGACGATATAGCGACAAAACTCGGCCTCTGTTCCGATTCAAATCCTCTGCCGTCGCCCATATCAAACCCTTTCCCATTCTGCAACACAACAAAATAGTTTAGTAGAAATTAGATACACATGCATCAGATTGAAATTTCATGTATAGAACCTCAAATCTGCTTCGAACACAAACTCGGTGTCAATAGTGATACTAAGCTTTGCAAGAGGATGACTCATATAACATAAATATACCAAAATGTATTTTTTTTTTAAAATTGTAATAAAAATTGATTTTTATACAAAATTAAGTGATTTTTTTTAAAAATTAATAACCAATTTTTTTATAATAAAATAATAAAATATTTAAAATAATATTTTAAGAATAATTATATAAATTAAATTTTTATTTTGAAGCTTTAAAAAAAAGTTTTTGTAAAAATCTCCTTCCATCATTTCTTTCTTTCCATATCTTCTTTCTCTCTCTCCTATCAAACATCTCTAAATTATTTTTCTCTTTTCTCTCTCATGAAATTTCTCCCGATTCTCCGTTCTTTCTCTTTTACTCATGTTTACTGTTCATTTTCATTATTGAGTTTCATATAGATTCGATTTTGTTTTTGATTTAGTGTTTGTTGTTTCAGGTTTAGTGATGTTGGCTTACGCAGAATGGGGAAGATTCGTCGGCAGTGCGATTTCTGATGGCTCCATGTGCGACACCTTCGTGACCTAAAAAAGAAGTAGGAAACAGATCGTAACCTTTGACAATACAACTTGAAACTCGGAAAACTGAACCATGTAGGAATTGCTTTGGTGAAAAAAACTATTGTGTAGCTGTGGTGAGACCGAATCGATGCTGAGTGGGTAGATCTTGTTTCTTCATGCCAGTTCTTCTATATTTTGTCATGAAATTGAGTTTCATCTTTTGCTTACAAACATGGATGCTTTTGATAAAGAAATGGAAGGAACTAACCTCTCAAAGTAGTGTTAATCTAGTTGAGGAAGGAACTAACCTCCA